CACACATTTCTAACAGACACCTGACATGTGTAACTGGCATAGTCTTGGGGTCGCAGATTTTTCAGCTTCAGGACTTTGGTTTCTCCCTGGAGGGTTTGGAAGGAAACAGGATGAGAGAGGAAGAATGATGAACGGCTAGTGGTGTCAACCCTTTGAAATCACCCCAATGGTTATTTCCTGAAACAGTCTTAGGACTGGTTCATATATTCTTCAGTGCTAATAAGTTTTCTCTGTGTGATCATATTGTGCTTGTTAGCATCCATCCATAGGGCCATATCTACCCATGATCACATGGAGAAAGTACTGTGTGAACTCAAGTACTATCTGCATTAGTAACACAGGAATGTGGTTCTTCTTGTGCTCAACGTGACAGGTCCAAAAGGGGAGATTCCTTTACCCCCTCTATCACCGTCTTCCATTGTTTTCTCATGTACTTGTGTATACGTATACTTCTAGTAAACATGGTTACAAGCCTGAAATAATGCATGGAAGGAATTTGGCAAAAGGGCTGTACAGGGAAATGACGACAAACTACTAGATGATGTGAAAGATCCCCAGTAAACAAACCCCTTGAACAGCTGCTTAGAATCAACAGTAACTTAGCATGCAAAGTAGATCAGAATTTAATCCTCTGTCTAGATGAGGCAAGAAGTTCTATCTGCTTATATTTTCAGCATCTAACAACTATATATAGTGAGGAAATAAATTAGCAGATCATCACATGACCTGAAAAGTTCACTGAAAAGATTTGCAGATGGTTCATCAACAATTCGCTTTCTGGATCTATTTATACAATTGGACCTACCCTTCAAAACAAAGGTTTGTGTTTCACACAGGGATACTGAAAACAAGCTGGCCAAACCCACATAAACAGCATTAGGCATTTTAAAAACTGTATAGCCAGAGTTGGCAATTAGATTGAAAAAAACAGACAAAAATAAGGCTGACAGGATAAAGCAGAAACAAAAGCACTGAAATGAATTATCAGATCTTTCGTTTTCTTAAGATTCTACTCAGATGCAGACCAATCTAAATCCAGGTTATTTTAACAGGTGTTCATGGAGCTACCCAAATCTGATTGTGCCAGTTATTGACACACAATCATAGAGTTGTAATAGAATCAATGGATCAACTACTCCAATTCCTTCTCCGAAAACAATTTACTTAATTCCTGACAGATGCATTCCAATCTCTTATAGAAGCAGCCTCTACAGTCCCTCTACACCATTTATTCCACAGCTGAACTGCTATATAGCGTAAAAACCTTTACTTGTTGTCCTTTCTTCATTAATGAAACAGTCATCCCCCTCCTCTTTCTACTATGTTTTTGAATATTAGAAAATAGCCAAATATATAGGGTTGACTCTGAAGTCTCTCTGCTGCTCATGAAGAGGGTGAGGAATAGTTCTTGCCAATTCCTCCTTCCCACTGCAGACCTCCGCATTGCATCCCATGAGGGTCTTGAGGGTTTCCTCTTTTTTTTGAAACCCCCAAGAAGGTAATTTTATTGGTTTTTCAATAGACTACATAATACAACAGAAAATATAGGAAGGGGGACTACAACTAGGGATAAAGAAAAGATACCCACACTAACTAAAACCCCAAGAGTAGGAGATCATTTCCGTGTTAAACTACATGTTAGTAAATACGTGTTAGTATAACAATATACTTGTGAGCAGTGTTCCCTCTAAGCTGAGTTAGTGTGAGCTAGCTCACAGTTTTTTAGCCCCTGGCTCACACATTTTTGCCATCGCTCAGGAAGGATGGCTCCAGAGCAAACTAATTTATGCAGTATCCAAATCGCTTGCTCACAACTTTAATGCCAGCAGCTCACAAAGTAGAATTTTTGTTCAAAAGACTCTACAGCTTAGAGGGAACATTGCTTGTGAGTTATTTTTAACTACTGCTTCAATGTTAGTAATTTTAATATTTTGAGAACACTTCTTGATCATCTTCTTATTTTCATAGGGCTATTTTCAGAGTCCTTCTGCCCTTACTTCTGCCATCTTTCTCTAAAATCATAAACCGTTTTGCTTGCTCCCGCACCCGCACCCACTTCCTCCCCAGAGTCCTCCCCCGTCCCAGAGGTAGCAGAGTCACTCGATTTTGTTTCTTCATCTTTGAGTTCTGCTTCTGGCCCCAGCTGTCGTACCAAAAATTCCTTTGCTTTAAAGATGGGGTCAATCTTCTCTCTTTTATCATTAATTTTAAAGATGACACCTTCAGGGATCGCCCAGCGATATTGTATTCCATTTGTCTGAAGAAATGAGATTAATTCTTTGTAGCTTTTTCTCTCTTGACGGATTTCAAATGAGATGTCTTTTAGAGTCTAAATATTTGTATTCCCAAATTTCGATGGATTTGCCGAAGTTGCCTTTAATCTAACATCTCTGGTCTGTCCTCTTGCAAACTTGACTACAATCTCCCCAGGCAGGCTATTTTTTTTTAATGTAATTAGAGTATACCCGACAGGCAGACTCTATATCTTTTATTATTTAATTTGCTGATAAGCCTGTTACTGGAGCGATGATCTTTCCCAGAGTATTCTTCAAATCTTCTTTTTCCTTTTCAGGCAGTCCCTGAAATCT